CTCCCAGTTGGAAGAGAACCCTGACAATCTCGATAAGGCTTGTTGTTGGACTCTCCACAAGGAATATTGTGTGAATCCGCATGAAATTCAATGCCAAATGAGGTTTAGCAGTACAACGATGACAATGGAGTACTTACATATGAGTCAAGTATTTGAGAGGTTCGAACATCCTCCGTTGTATGTTTCCAATTTCGATCCCTTCTATGCTCCTGGAGAGTATACATAGATATATATTCAGTCAGGTTCCACTCACACAGATACATTTAGCTTTATGGATTTATAACTGCTAAAAGAGTTTTCAGAAGCACAAAAGCTGTCCGCCAAGGTCCCCAGAAAATAGCTTTTCAAGGATTTATGTGAACATTTCACAGGTCCATCACCGATGTGTTTGTGTTCTGCTCTTCTGCAACTTTAAGCATGTGAGCTGAATGACTCAACTCAAATCAAAGAGGTCCGTATATGCTAATGTCCAGGTTTATATTTGTATTTTGTGCCTCTACTTTGCCTCTACTAATGTAATGCTCAAAAAGCTCTTTATTATTCTCATACTGCCTGTGCTGCTGCACCTCTTTTCACCCTCTGTCTGAAACCAGAGCCCAGTCTGAGCCCTATCATGTACAATGTGTTGGAGCGCTAGCCAATATAAGCACAAGTGTTACTTGGTGATGTCACTGTGTTACAGGAAGTAAACAAAGTAGTCCAATAGAGGTATTTCAGACAACAGGGAAGGCAAATCCCCAAAAAGCATAAAAGGGCCTCTTTATTTTCTCTCGCAGGAGACGTTTGGTCTGTACTTACAATGACTTCAGTTTATGCAACTTGTCAAAGTGGTCGACTTGGAGCTCCATGATGGGATTATATGATATATTCCTAAAAGATAAGAAAACATTCAATTACATAATGTCAAAATCATTTCCATTTTTCATTTACCTAGCAAGTGTCAACGTTTTCTATATGCAAGTGGGCTTGTATTTAAAATTCCCCTATTATACTGTTTTTCATCAACATATTACAGCTCTCAGATAAATACAAACATGTCTGAAGTATTTGGCTCCAAACACCAAACAGATCATTGCAGCATTACCCATAATCCCCTCTGTTTCAGCCCTGTTTCCAAAGTGCTGATTCTCTGTCTGTTACTTCAGATGAAAATAAGGAGCCCCTCCCCACGCCCCTCTGACAGAAATTTGGTTAAAAAGAACACAATGGTGCTCTAGGAGGAGATTCAGGTGATAAGGTGGGGCGGGGGTTACCTTGGTTGGTGGTTGGCTAATGGTTACACAAGCCAAAAACGTTATGACATCACCAAGTGGCCAAAATCTGATCAGCTCATTTTCAGACAGGTTTTTATAGAAATGGATCAGGACAAAAA